TATGTAAAATTAACAATACGGTTACTCACTAAATTTCTTAAATGAGGGGTACAATCTAGAGATATGACATGTCACGGGGTACGCTAATGAAAAAAGGTTGGGAACCACTGACCTAGGTAGTCCCAATGGCGGCACCTCCGTTATCAGAGCGACGGTCATTTTCACTACTTTTTTTTTTTTAGCGAAATTGATGTTTTATTTCGTATTTTTTACATAAATCACACAACCACCACAATTGTTGACCTTGGCGTGATATTCGTCTCCGAAGATAAGTTTTTAACACGTATCACTCTACCAACTATCCTCCATGCTTTACATGTAGGCATGTGCTTGCACCTTAGCCCCGAAAACTATATAACATCAAGTACTCCATGAACAGTCAAGTGGGCTACTCAAAGCTGGCATGGTCATGTGGGCAAGTTGTTAAACATGATATTGCTATTGGGGCTACCTAGGTGAACATTGACTTTTATTTCACATTAAGATTATCCTGCTGTATAGAGAGATATTTAGCATTAAAAAGAAGGGCTGTGGAGTCGCATAAAAATCTACCGACTCTGACTCCGACTTTTCCTTACCAATCCGACTGCGACTCCGACTCTGGCTAAAACACCAAAACTCCACGACTCCGACTCCACAGCCCTGTTAAAAAGGAAGATCTTAAATTGAGTTAAGCTCGAAGTTCAATAGAGAATGAGCTTTCAATTGGCATGCAGACTTTATGGTTATTTATATTATTTGTGTACAAATTTATATTATTTATATCATTTCTGCACAAATTTTGGTAAAAGTTTACTCTTCCTACATAGTGCATTTTTTCTTAATTAAGACACCTTGCTAGTAGAGTTGTCCTAAATAGATAGAAATTTTTTGGGGCAATGTGTATAATAATAGCTATAAGTGAAAACTCATTGGATTACTTACCGACTCTGTGTGTTGGAAGCTGCCATTGCCTAACCTTGTTCACATCACGGAGTAGCACATTGGATGGCGGATGCTTACAAATTGTGTTGCATGACCTCGCTTCAATATCAGTTGGTCACGTGACTACAGCTTTGACGTGTTTCTGGGCAACTCTACATTGTGTCACGTGATAGAGCAAAGACTCCTTAGGGTGCATTCATTAATAATGGTCATGCCACTGTGCTGCTGTTTGTAGACATTTGTGAATGACAGACAAAGAAAGAAAAAAGATGGCTTTTATTCAAATTTTAATTTTTCCTATATTCTTCTTAACATCTTTCATCTTAACAGTTGGAAATCATTAAAATAGTTTTTAATAACTGTTTTCTGCTGTTGTAAGATGGAATTGAAAAATTTTTATGCAACGATACTTGATAAAGCATATTATTATTTGCCGTTAAGTCTGGATTTTGAGACCACACAATGTCGGATTTGATCCGTTAGTCACTGAATTTGTATTTGTGATATTCTCTAATGGGGAAGTTCAGGACAATTTTGTGCATAAGAATTTTGTAACTACCATGTAAAATGTGTTTTGCCAAAATTATAACCTAATATATAACAAAAGAAATCCATGTTTGTCGGGATATGAAAATTGTCTGGCACTCAGTTTTCCCGCCTTTTTATGAACGACCGTTGTGGCCATAGATACGGCGATCAGATCAGTTTGAAAACTCGACTGCTCATTGGCTAAAAGACATCAGACCATCGGTGGACGTCTTATAGAGCTGGTAAATGCTGATTGGTGGAATCCAATGCTGTTTCAATCCTATAAAAGCATTGAAGTTCTGGCGGGAAGTTCAGTTTTGCTTCGGACATTAGGAAGCAAACTCACGCTGACCTTAGCTCGCCTAAGCTGTTGTAGAAGATTGCCTCATCTTGTTGTATTGTCGTGGACTTTGAATTTGTACGTCGCAAGGTGCTTTTCCGACGGACCTGTTGCAGTGGATAATTACTTTGAACTTTGTTAATATCCAATGTTTGTAATTCTTATATGTGAACTTTAATTGTAATTGTACATACGTTTATTTTCAAATATACATTAAGTTTTAAATTTAACTGGCTCTGAAGAAGATAATCTGAAGTTGGCTATGTTAAAAAAATAGTAATAAAAAATATTTTCTTTATAGAAAAAATTTAAGATAAATATTTTCAACTAATACTAAAGTCATCTAATCTATTTTTTCACTGATTTGTACTGGTTCTGGTATTCATATCTTAGTTTTTATATTTCTTAGAAGAAATACTTACCAGATGATCATAATTAAAGTACCCCTATTCAATGATTCTGTCTAAAGATATATTTAGCAGTCCAAATGCAACCAAATCTGGTATGATGACATTTCAGGAAATGTGGAAAAACATTTCAGTAAAAAATAAAAATTAGTACCAAAACTTACCATTATTGCAATTTTGGTGTTGCAAGCAGAAAATAAAGCAATTTCCTTTGCACAAACACATGTTACAGCCAACATATGGGTATAAAAATGACTACAACTGTTGAATGTCATTCTTATCAGTTATAGTGATTATCATCATGCCAGAATGTGCATTTCTTAAGCTGTTTTATGAAAACTGGCAATTCAGCAGTGACACTTTGAGAATTTTGCTGTCATGAGAATCTAGACTGAGGACCATTGACTCCTCAAGATCTAAGGAGAGTTATCCCTTCATTGCTAAGGTCTCTATAACATGAATGACTTTTACAAATAAAATTTTTGTTGATTGCAGTGATAAAAATGTCATAGTGATGAGTTTTGGTACTAATTTTTTTACAGAAATGTTTTGTGCATTTTCTAAAATGTCACCATTTCAAATTTTGTTGCCAGCATGGAGTATAGTAGTGTTTTGCTATCATACATCATACTTTTCCTGTTAGCAATAGAGTCGAGCTGGTTATGTATCTAACTCCGTTCAAGGGAAATTTTTGAATCGAAATAATGTGACTTTTGGTGCAAACCAGATATTCATCTAGTTCTCTTTCTCTTATGACTTTCATGTCTGGTGTCAATTTTCACCTATCTAATTCTGCTTTCGAGATTAAGGAAGAACAGAGACAGTCGGATTATAGTGGTAATTTATAGGTTTACAGTTTTTTCAAATTGCAGCCCAACAAATATCTTCCAGTAACCAAGTAGATAAAAGCCACCAAACACTGATAGTCGGTTATGGGTTCATGCATGGCCAACAGACTAGTCAAGTGGTGTTATCTGGTTTTCTTCCCATTAGTAACACCTAAATAGATACCAGCTTAACATAAAAGTCTTCCCAGGATGCATCCTTCTTGGCAGATTGCTTATGTGTCGCATTGCTGTAACCAAATAAACCAAATCAATTTTAATAATTTTTCTATAAATGTGACATTTATGAGGACATGCTTAACTATCAGGAAATCTGGACATCCTGCCCCTCCCCTGATTTCATCTCCCCTTAGTAACTCATAAACCTATTGCCCCAAACTTCTTTCCCTGATACTGCTTAAGATGTTCTAACATTCAGCCAAATGAATGTAGTACATGCAATGATTTTAAGGCACAAAGTAGAGCTCAAAGTCTTACTGTGCTGATGTTTATTTTTCCTATTTATTACCATGGTGACATTGCTTCATTCAAAATTTTCTATAGTTGTAGTCTGTGTAATGTGCACTTTATTCACATGTTGAGTCACTGTCAAATCTACTTCTAGTATGCTTATGCCACAACTTTTGAAGGTTGTGGCATAAGCATGCTGGAAGCAGATTTGACAGTGACTCAACATGTGATGGATAGCTGGAAGTTTACTTAGATGTTTTTGATGAGCTTTACTTTTTCCACCTGGTTTCACAAGTTTTTTTACAGGATCACATAAAAGCAATTATTCTCACATTTTTACACAGTTATTTTTTTATTTAAACAAGTCTTTCAGGCATTAAGGTTAGCAACTTCGATCAAATGCGGGGCCATCACAACCTATCCAATACGGATACTTTTCAAATATTAATAGTAGACCAGTATTAATTAGTAGTCATTGACCATCTTCGGAGGAGGTCAACTACTACTTTTATCAAATTAACTTCAACTTCTTCTTTCTATGAAACCATTGGTATGGTGGCTTTTATCAATTTATGGTTATTTTTATCAAATTAACTTCAACACCTTCTTTCTATCAAACCATTGGTATGGTGGCATTTGAATAGGAAAGTGGCATAATACAAGATTACCAGCCAGCACAAAATATGATTTAAGTGGTTTTTACAGGGTGCCAAGTTTAAATATTTGGTCTATTTTTGCAAAGTTTGATTGGTTGCCAGATTATTGTTTGATATTCGGCTGTTAATGGAACAGTTTGTTAGAGCTAACATTAGAAAAAAATATGATATCTTAAAAAATATTTCAAAAAATCGTATTTCAATTGCTTTCTACTTGACCAATGAAATTGTGCCATTTCATACCACCTGAGTATTGCGATAAAGATGACAATGGTAGGCTGAAACATCCAAACTTTTTATATGGTTTTCATTTTAATGTTTGTTATATTATACTATTTGATTTATATAAATACAAAGGTTATCTTATGTAAGAGTTTATCACACTGAGTGACCAATCTAACACATTTTAAATTAACAATCAATTTTTTATTCTTCTAACACATTTAAAAAATTTTTTAAATTGTGTAGATTGGTCACTTGGTATGATAAACTCTTATGTAAGATAACATTTGTAGTTATATAAATCAAATACTATAATATAATATAATAGAAGGGTTAGTAGTATGAAATAGTCTAATAATCTTAATCTTTGTTGTTGTTAATTTTTGCTCTGGCAATGTTGTGCTTATCTGCTAGTTATATCTTTTTAAAGTAAACATTGACTTTGCAATTGTTAATTTAATTAATTAATATTGTAATTTTGACAGCATATAATTACTCAATTAAAAATAAATGTTATGTATGCCTTTTAAAGATTTTTAATTATTTGACTAACATGACATGACAATATAATATGATATTTATTGAAATTTGAATTATATTTATTTAATAATAAAACATAATTATTTAGATAATCAAAATGAAGATTGCTTCTATGGGGGCTGATACATTATTTCAAGAATATACTATTAAAGAAATACAAGAAATACAAAAAAAATTAAAGTAAGTATTGTCTTAAATTAGACTGAATATTATTGAGAATTATATTTAAAAATATTCATCCACCAATTCCTTTGGTGGGCGCTTTATTTTTATGCATACCCCGTGTCTTTAGAACTCATGGCCTCATTTTATCAATTGTTCCCCAGCCTTTCTTATATAGGTTGTTATGTAATGACAGTGTTACCATATATGAAAAATCGGGGGTGTATACAATTTAGTTGCAGTATATTTTTCAGGAACAACAGCAATGTACAGTACATTCCAGAATGTTGCAAGTTCAGGTAGCAGAACATCAAGAGGTTATTGCTAATAGTAAACTCACAATTGAAAGCTCAAAAAGAGTACAGGCAGTCTTCTACTTTTGTATGTATAGTAGAGCGTCGTTTATCTGAATCAATTGGGGACTGGGGCCATTCGGATAACTTATTTTTCGGATAACCGATTATGTACAAAAAAATATATTAACCTATCCCAAGTTGAAATTTTTCTCCATTGCGTGTCGCTTTGCATTGAATTTTCGTCGTTGTTAAGCCTAACGAAGACTATTGTATCGTTAAAAATTATTTTTTTATTTTGTACAAACAAAATAAATATATTGAAAAATATAAAAACAATAAAAAATTATACTTCAGAAGTTAATTTAGTATCAAAAACGTAAAATATTTGAGTAGCCCAAGACATAGCCAAAGATTGCAGC